ATATTGATATTGTTCATATGAATGAATGAGTGAGTGAGTGAGTGAGTGAGTGAGTGAGTGAGTGAGTGAGTGAGTGAGTGAGTGAATGAATGAATGAATGAATTAATTAATTAATTAATGAACGAACGAATGAACAAACGAACGAATGATGCAATATACGTATATGTTAAAACAAATTGTCTGTAGAAAGTATACATTGTATGAGTTGTTATATTCTAAAAATTACATATTATACATTCATTTTTCTTCCTATGCATGTCCTGTTGTTGTTGTTGTTGTTGTTGTTTTCTATTTCAGAAGGTTACATTGGAAATAAGATATATATGATTGTTATTGTATGTTATTAATGTATAACCTTCTTTAAATAAATTAAAGATATTATTATTATTATTATTATTATTATTATTATTATTATTATTATTATTATTATTATTATTATTATTATTATATAAAAATGTAGCAAGATCTATTAATATGTTTCTGAAATGTAAAATTCAAAGAATGTAAAGGCAAATTTAACGCTTAAAACGAATACTCTGTATTATAACTAAAGCAATCAAGTGTTATTATAAATAATGGCATATAGTAGACATGTCCCATGCTGTAAATGGATGTGTAACCCGAGATGTCTGCCATATAAAATGATTTATTTAAAAAAATGAAAATTGAAATAAATTTTAAGAATGGTTATTATTTCTATTGCACTATACATTAAAACAGATTTCAAGGATAAATAATAACATTTTTTTCCATGCACTTTCATATCCCGGGTTACACAGCCATTCACTGCATAGGACTTGTCCATTATATGCCTTTATTTATAATAACACTTGATGGATTTACCAGACTGAATATTCATATTAAGCGTTAAATTTGCCTTTGCCTTTTGACTTAAACATTTCATAAACCTATTACAGGAACTCCACTGAGGTTAATAAGCCTAAAAACATGATATTTTATTTTTTCACATAAAAAAAACATGAGCACTAAAACATAAATATTAAATAAAATATAACCAAGAATTATAGGAGAAATACATTGAAAATCATATGTTTGTGCTATTCTCAGTCCGATTTGAGTGAAAAGCGTTTAAACTCTTTTCAATTTTGGGTAATGTTTTCACTATAATAATTTTCTGGAAAAACGGAAAAGGCTAATGATCGGAAATGTTGCATATAAGTTATTAGTATAGATTTACATCAAATGGAGAAATAATCTCAAAAAATTATTTCCAGTCTCGTCATGTCAAAAAACCTTAGTGGAGTCCCTTTAATAGGTTTTGCTACCTTTTTATATTGAAATACAGTGCGGTAAATGGAGATCAAGGTCTCTAACCTAAGATATGACAAATAATAGAAAGTAATAATAAAAATAATATAATTAGAAAGTATCATGACTAAAGTAATATTCTAAATTAACAAAAAAGTTTAACTCTTTTCTAGTTACTGTAGGACAAAAGCGCTGTTGTTAATACATGTAATTGTTTCTTTGAACAGCTTTCAGCGTTATTCATCCTTGCCGATGAATAGCTGTCGATGTTATCATTAAAAAGAGGCGAACAGCTGATGACGTTACTAAAATTTTGATGACACACAAACTTAAATACCTTATAACTTTAACAGAAAAGCTTTTTTTGAAGGTATGGTTTGGAATGTTTAATGACGAAATGTTGACGTTTACGAATCGTATGAAAAAAGGATTAATTATCATGATAAAATATAAGTTTTTGTGACTTCAAACTAAAAATACCGCATCTCATCGGATAGTGTGGTTATTTTCAGTCAAAATTCATGTGAAGTAAAGCTTGCACAGGGCCAGAAATTTGTTAGCATGCTCCTTTGGATGTTGACTATGAATCAATAACATTGATTTACTCGAATACAGTTGGGATATGTTAAAAATAGATGAATACTTACCGTACGTCAATTGTATTCCCCGCGCCGACATGTATAAACTGGTACAGCTGTGGACGCTGGAACAGCTGTCTGCCCATTTGATTGTACAGTGTGATGACGTCATTTTTCCAATATGAATGAAGTTGTAAAATTATACGCTAATATAAGAAAAAAGTGCTACATGAAAATATAGTTTCCGAAATATGATTGAAATGCAAGACAATGAATCAAACACCGGTTGTCGTGATAGATGGGAATTTCTAGCATATCAGACAGGGTTATTTACCGTGCTAGAAAAACCTGTCTTACTCCCGCCCATGTACTGACCGGAATTGCCAGCTCTCGGGTAACTGTTTAGCGGAAAGTCGGCAGATCATCGGTACTGCCGTAAACAGTAACCCTCGAGCTAGATATTCCGGTTTATTACCCCTCACTTTTTTCGTAATGCTAATTTCCCATAGGCCTCTGGGAGTTATTCTTACTGTTAATGCAAGTGTACCACGTGACTACGAATTTTGTACTGTTACATAGGTAACAGTATTTTTTAACAGTATAAAATCTGGTCACGTGGTCTATTTTCTAAATAAAATGAAATAAAATGGCCGCCATTTTTTTCTCGATTCATTCTTATTTTCGACGATAGGGCATCGCCGAAGTAACTATTACTCTGATAAAATTTAGGTCTTTGCAACCTAGAGTCCCTTTCGCGTATTAAATATCTTTTTGTTGAATAGTCAACAGGAAACATCCGTTTTCAACGGAAGTATTAAATTGTAATGTAAATAATTTTGTGTCAAACTGGAACATGCAGACAATTAAAGCATGCAACAAAGGATAATTTAACAATTTTAACAAGTGAAACGTTACAGATAGAGTTGGTGGACAGACATCTGTAGGATATCATCGTTATTTTCTAAATGCACCGTGTCAAAAACTATGCGAAGAATATTCTGGATGCAGAAGGATCAGATTTCACAGATCATAACCTTATAAATGGGTTAGTGTTTTGTTTTCTGAATAAAACACAGCTTATTTTATGTTTATGACTGGTAGATATCATCACTTGCCTAAAGAATAAAAGAAAAACAGCTTCTCAAGTAGGCCTAAGTGCACTTAAATTTAAAACTTGCAAGGTAAGGATTGTTTAGTTATTGCTTCTCTTGGCTTATTTTTGTTACAGTTAGATTTAGTTGCCAAATTCAGATCATCACAGTATTTGTTCGGGGTAATAAAATAAATAATACATGGGTTTGTGGGTAACAGTAAAAATATCATCCCTCGTATAAATACTGTTACCCTCGGCTACGCCTCGGGTAACAGTATTTTCCTCGGGGTGATATTTTTACTGTTACCCACAAACCCATGTGTTATTTATATAATGTAAGACCCTTATAATAAAATGTTTACAGAATAAATCGTCAACATTCAATCATAGCCAGTCAAAGCATCCAAATATCGTCTGGCGGGGTGGCCGAGTGGTTTAACGAGTCAGACTAATAATGTAAGTATTTTAGGCCACATGGGTTCAAATCCCGTCATCCGTTGTTTATGTGAGTAAGAAACTTTACACTCATTGCTTAGTACTGATTGGTTCCGGGAACGGATTCGGAAGTGTTTCAATATGCTTGTAAACAGCTTCAAATATTTGATAAGCATATAATCGAACTAAAATAAAGTATTTTTAACAAAATAATTGTTCAAAACAAATTATAAACCAAATTATGTTCCCATTCATATCGAAAAAAAAATCTTGGAATAGGGGACCTAAAAATAATCGATTTTTTTAGTTCAGTGTGGCCAGAAACACAATTCCAAATATTTCAAAATATGTTACACAGGTTGACAACCGATTGCACAGCATTATTTATAATATTTCTGGTGTCTTATCAGGTTTCATAAGATGTTTAAATTTTGAATAAAGAAAAACGTTTTTTAAGAAAATAGTTTTTGACTACAATATACAACAACCTACATGTACATGTATATATGTGAAGTTCTTTTTATACGCAATAGCAGATTTTTGCTGTCCATTATATCCAGTGCTTTCAGCACTTTGATGTTTTATTTCGCAATAGCAAGAACAGTAGAAAATCCGGTATATAAATTCATGCAGTGATAAACAACAACAAACAGGCAGAAAGTTGGTGAAAACAAACATTACAAGGGATGATCCAGAATTATCCGGAATTGTTAATAATTCTGATAGATTTCATGTTTTTCTCGTATTCATCACGTTCTAACTATTTACTTTTAAACATGTAAATTAAATCTTATTCAATTACAGTATGATCAAATGAATAATTTCTTTTTTTTTAATCATGATAAAAAGTCCCTAAATTTCATCTTCGACCCAAAAATAAAAATTCATTCATTCATTCATTCACTCACTCACTCACTCACTCACTCACTCACTCACTCACTCACTCATTCATTCATTCATTCATTCATTCATTCATTCATTCATTTATTCATTCACTCATTCATCCACTCATGTATTCATTCATTCATTCATTCACTCACTCACTTCCTCACTGACACACTCACTCACTCACTCACTCACTCATTCATTCATTCATTCATTCATTCATTCATTCATTCATTCATTCATTCATTCATTCATAGGCTCGTGTGGTTGGAAAAGAATCATTTGTACACAGAGAAGTTCTAGTATCAGTCAAATTTTCATAAATGATTAATTATTCTGCACAGCTTCTTAAAAATAAATTAGTTCTTCTAGAAGTGTCTCAGTTATTTGTATATTCACAAGCGTTAAAATCGTCCAATGAAATTCGAGGTAAAAAACGAACAATATCACAAGTACTAGATTAAATGCCCATAATGCCCAAGAAATGCTTTTATTTCGATTTCTCAAAATATTTTCATTTTTGCTGTACTTTTATAGTTTCCAGACAGTATCCCATTGATCATTTACCTGAATTATCTTTTTCTTCTGTTGTTTTTTCGGCAATTAGTATAGTGATTTCGTATTACATGTATGTATGGCAGTCAAAATACTACTTTCTTTATATGTTGCTACTTTTAAGATAAATAGTGAAAAATAAGTAGTCAACTGCAAATTCTATAAATTAGCGCTGCTTTATTCAGTTAACAAATTATCGTACATGTTCTAAAACCATTATTTAAACATTATAAAATTCATATTTGCTTTTTCTAGAGAAGAAAAAAATTTATTCATTTCTGAAGCATAATGATTGGATGCAAAGTAAAATTCTGTCCTTTTGATTCACGCACCGGAACCACGCATGCGCCGTGCGAGGTAACTTGCCTCTGCATATTCACGATGTTCTTCAACTGCAATAAACAATAACACAATTTATTTCAATAATCATATCAAAACTAGATGGTAAAGATCATTTCATGCGGGAGGTATCCAGCTTACAGAACGTCGGTGGTTCTACTCAGATTCCAGTTTGCGCCCGAAAATATGGACGAAAGGGGCACCTGAGGTCTTCTGCCATCGACGTCAATCCGAACTCAAAGTAACATGTTCTTATCCCAGGCAGAACATCAAAGAGCGTTTTTGGTGAAATAATGTAAGCAACGCCGACTCTGTAATATTCCTGTGGCGTTTTTTTAGCTTTATTGGGTGTAAAAAAACTGCCGTACTCGTCCGTGAGAAAATAAAGCTTAAAAGGATCCTTATATAACTTATATAACTTATGAAGGTTAACTGAATATTGCATGAAAGGGTCTTATACTATGTAAGAATAACCATTTCTGAATTAAAAGAAATGAGAGTCGTAAGAAGGGCTTGTAGCCTAGCGTTGTCAAGACATAATTAATTGCCTTTTGGTGTATTGTTATAAATTGTATATATACTGGACCACAGGAGAGGTATTTTTTAATATATGCAACATAATGTAAGACAAATAACAATTATTGTCAATATATACCCTGTATATATAATTTACAGACTTTTTTGTTTATTGACAGAATATTAAATTCCTGTGAGTGGCTTTACATGTATATTCCAAGCAATAAATTAAATATAAGCTAAACTAAAGAAATAGGTATGCGCCTGATATCTTGCGCATTATTATTCAAAATGTAGGTATATATACATTAAAGGGGGAGGGGGATAGATGTGCATTTAATGCTTTATTCCTCTCCCTCTCCAATACATTTATATTGCGTTTAACAAATCTAAATTGAAGCTCCTATAAAAACTAAACTACCATGGGTTCACATACTAAGCAAAGCAAAATCAGCAAACGAGTTAAGCGGTTTAAAGATTTAAGCAAAATTAAGTTGGATTGAGTGGCAGTGACGCGAAAACATGTTACAAACGAAAGCAATGAAACTTACCAACAATGAGGTAGGCGATCAGCTCTTGTATGCCTTGAAGTTGAGCAAAATCTTCCTCCAGTACTTCGTTGGAATATTCATCTGTCACCAGAGTTAAATATCGTTAAGAATTATAATTATGACTTTATGAATCAGGTTATACTTTTAAAGCCCCATTATGCCTCAGGAAAGCTATCATTTCAATTTCTCAAAAACTGTTTATATTTGGTATCTTGTTACAGTTTCCAAAAACATAGTTATTTGCTATACATGTATACATAATCTAACTTATGCATCTTTAGTTCTGTTGGCAATTGGTGTAATTATAGCTGGGACAAAAGATAAGTTAAATTATAGTTAATAAATATTTTGTATGGAAGTCAAATTACTTATTTGGTTATATTTTGCTACCTTTAAGACACAAAATGCATGTTTGGCGCTACCTTTTTTACAGTTTAAATATGTAAACATGCATTTAATCCATTATTTAAACATTATTAAAGATGTGTTTAACATATTTAAAGATTTTTTTAAAAATATCGATTTCTGAAACACAATGTGCCTTTAAACATAAGTATCTAACCAATCTGATTTAAATCAGCTCCTTAATAACGCTACTCATAAGGGTCTGACTAGTTACCTTCTCATGGTATTTCAAACAATCAATTATTGGCGAGCTTTCAATATTTTGAAAGCGATGCGGTTTCTAATTGTTTTTGCCCTTGAGTGGGACATATTCACAAAATTCTGAGAACAAACATGGCGTTGTCCATATAGCCGACAAAATTAAAAATTGCTACTGCAAAAACTTATCCAACTTAATGCCTGCATCTCAGAAATTCTTGCTGAAGGAAGGGAGGTAATATCTTATTACTATTTATGTAATTGTAGTTTAGAGTTACTTAACCTATCATAGCACGCAAAATGCCCACGCTTTGCCATTTGGAAGTAACAGCTGCTAGAAACAACAACGCACTGACCCATACATATCAGGGACAGACAGACAGATAGACAGACAGAATATGGAAACCTGGCGCATCTTCAGCACGATTACATTAATAGTAAGCAACTGAAGTCCAAATGTTTAGAAACATTACTAGTGCAATGAACAGGAAAAGATATCTTTCAAATATTTCCAAAAATTAGTCAGAATTAAATTTAACATAGTATTTATGTGCTATTATAAGCCCGATTTGAGTTTTAAACGTTTTTTAAAACTCTTTTTTTTATTTTTGGTTTATTCCTTTATCACAAAACCTTTTTCTTGAAAAAAAAGACAAAACAACCACAACAACGAAGCGAACTAATAATCTGGATTTCTGCACACAACATTTTTGGTCCAGACCCACATCAAACGTAGAAATGTGAAAATATAAAGAGTCAAATGTCAATTTCAACTAGAGCTCGACGTGTCCGTCCGTCAAGTAATAAAAAAGAACAGAAATAAATCTTTTAGAGTTGACAGTCGATTAAGATATGTCAATCTTCAACAAAAACAGTTTCAGTAGGAAAATCTTCGAGATTGGTCATCTTCTAGCTGGGATATTTGAATTTCTCTACCAACTCCGAACATGCACATAATTCAGTATACGAAACTGGTCAAAATATTGTTTTTGCAAGTGACAATATTTAGTGAGACGCTGACTTATGCTTATTTATGCTGGCTTATGCGGACTTATGCTGACTTATTCTAAAGGCACATTATGTCTCAGAAACAAATCGATGTTAAATTCTTTAGAAAGGGCAAACATGAATTTTATAATGTTAATAAAAAATGGGTTTAGGGAATGTCAGATGCTCGTTGCCTGATGAAAGTAGCGGTTAATGTTAAATTATTTGTCATAAAGGTAGCAAAATGTACACAAAGAAGTATTTTGACTTTCACAGAAAATATTCGTTCACTGTAACTGCACTTATTGTCAATAAGCAACAGATGAAAAAGATGGTTCAGGTAATTTTGTTATTAAGTATTTTTTTTTGGATACTATAAAGGTACAGTTAATTTACAAAACTTTTGAGAAATAAAAATAAAAGCATTTCGGAGGCATAATGGGCCTTTAAACGGATGTCTTGTTTTCATGTTGACGCTAGAGAGGAGAGAACATACCAGTAATATTTTTGAAAAACAAATAACAAAATTATTTATGTGGTGATTAATGTTAATCATACAAATGGACGTGAAAAAAAACGATAATGTTTCATATATGGCCTCCCTCAAAGAATTATTTTCAAAACATGTTGTTTTTGTTGTGTTGTTTTTGTTGTTGATGGTTTTTTCCCCAGTTATATAGTCTACATATATAAAATCGATTGCTTTAATTAACATTGTTAGCGGATATGTACAAAATATGTACAAGTTTATAGACTAGTTTCATTTCTATTAGTTTAAGGTTATCAGGGTCATTTTATATAAAATTTGTAAATTGTAAAATTATGTTGTTTCCATAAACATTATCTAATAGCCGATTCCCGAAGTGTTGTAACGTTAGCACATTAATATTAATACTATACTAAAATGCCCAGCTATTTCAAGTAGGATTTTGACCATAAAGCAATGATTTTGTCCAGTCAACAATTATGTAAACACATTTCTCTCGTGCAGGTTTTTTGGAATTTTTCTTATTCAAAATTCTAAAAGTAATTTTCTAAACTACGGACAGCAAGTAAAAAGATTATAAACTTAAAAAAGAACAACATTACCATTCATCCAATGAAGGATGGCGGATAGATTTTTAAGCTTTTCTTTGTTCCCAGTGCCAAAGCAGTCTGGATTTCCACTGCCACTAGATTCACTGCCGCTGCCACTAGATTCACTGCCGCTGCCACTAGACTCACCACCGCTGCCACTATATCCACTTCCGCTGCCGCTAGACGCATAATTGCCATCAGGTTCACTTCCACTTCCACTCTGTTCACCTCCGCTAACATTATGTTTACTTCCGCTAGATTCATTGCAGTTACTGTTGCTTTCTGAACGTTCAAATTCACCATTCAGAAGGAGGCGTTTTAGTCTAATAATAATGATAATAATAATAATAAGAAATAAATAAATAAATAATGATAATAATTATGATGATAAAGATGATGATGATAGTAACTGAAAATGAACATGAGACATTGTTTGTTCGTTTGATTTTATTTTTTAATTTATTACTGACTTTGATTTTCAATTATTAAAAACACTTTAATACAACGCTAATGAAATCAATTAAAGTTTTCTTCCTGGAGGTTGATATACCTTGGTGTTTACTGGGTAAAGATGGGCTCGAATGTTAATAAACTTGACAGATCACAGTATCATTAACAGGGACGGCTAAGAATCAAAGTGCTGGAGGCACTAATGCTGTAATCAATTATAATTATATGAGTAATGATTTTACATAATACCTTTTAGTTTTGTTTTACCTTTTTTCTAAGATTAACGTAGATATCTCTTTAACTTTAAATGAATAGTTTTGAATAATTTTGAAACATTGAAGAAGAAAAAAAAATTCTTAACCTGTCTTTAACGTCCGCTTCAGTCATCTCCGCCGATGTGACCGCTATTAGACATACAACCAGGACAAACATTTCCACATTCATCTCACTAGGACAGAGTAGGCGAATTTCTGAAAGGAAAAGAAAGTTAACAGTCGTTAAAACAAGTCGTGTTCTCAAAACACAAAATTCCTGGCTATGAATTTGTAAATCTGCTATATTTTTACAATGCAAGTTTCGAAAAACAGCTTGGTTTTTTTTGACAATATAAGTTTCGAAAAAGAGCTCAGTTTTATATTTTGACAATATAAGAATCGAAAAAGAGCTCAGTTTTTCCTGTAAGCCATTATAAGACAGAAATTTGAGCTAAACTCCATGCCGTATGATAAACAATAGTAAAGTACTTAAATAAATAATGTGCTTTTAGTCGAAACGAAAATGAACTTAAAAATAAATAGGAAAAAAAACTGAGATACGCGTTTTATTTCATAAATATTTCAAAATATTTCATTTGTAACTCTATATAAATTGTATATACATCAAATAAATAAATAAATAAATGAATAATTTAATCCTTACTTAAAAATTGTATCTTCTTCGGTTTGAGTTTCGTATTCTTCAAAACGTTTGACACATAAATCAAGCTTTCGCTCATTTATGCACGTACAGCTTTGTTTATAGCATTTCAAATTGTGTGTACATCACATTTCAGTTCCTTCGAGGGTCAATCAATTTTATTTAATTGTTATTGCAGTTGAAATAGGAATATATAACCAAGGTCATGCACCTTTGCCATTGTCTATGTCTAACTCTTCGGTCAATTGCCTTAAAATTGCTTCGATCAACCTCAAATTAAAATGTTTCAACGCCATTCACTGTAATAAATACATGTACTGACAAAAAAAACAACTGTAAACATAAACCAAATAACGCCATCCCTTATTTTCATGTCAGAATAAGCATACTTGTATATTAAAGTAAATATATTTATATTTTTACAATTTCACTTTTTTTATGAATATATTTGAAAAAAATCATACGATTACTGATTTGTAATTTCTTTATTAAAGCCAACAATAATATAATAAATAATACAATAATATTTTATCAATTAACTTTCAACTAGTGAATAGTTCTGAAATAATTGTAAGAAAAAAAACTTTTTAATTGATGATATTTAAAGTTTGTTGTTACACGCGTCCGAGGGAAAAAACTGCTGAAACATGTCGAGTTTAATTTCCCCTCTGTCCCCGTACTATCTTTGAACGCGACGGTTTAATTTTGACGCCACAATGGCCCATGATGACTCAAATCTTTGGAAACAATAGTTAAAATACACATAAAGTATACGGTATTTCGGTATAGCCTACGATCAAAAAAAAAACTAAACATGTAAAGGTATTTTGAAAACAGAAATTTTTTTACTGAGTTTATTCCATTACATCGTGTTTCTGTGACTCAGCATTGTCAGCCATGACTGTTCTCACTAAGTGGGTCCAAAGTAAAAGAAGGCCAAAATTCATATAACAACAAAGCTCACAATGTAAACTGATGAACAATTTGCAATAACACTTCCATGTATATGTTTTAAGGACTATAATAAACAAAAATAAAAATGATAACAATAAGAATATTTACCTTAAATGTGCTTAATTTCTGAAGACAAAGTAAAATCTTTTGCAAAGTTTTATACACATATTTAAATAATGGCAAAGTCCAATTGAAAGTCTGTTTTACTGAGGAGGAATGCTAAATTTTGCAACTCCTCTTACCTACTGGTGAAATTTCATCCAAACTTGACAGGAATGATCAGTATCTAGTCTAGCTTTGCACGGGTTTTCCGGTGATTGATTATATGCAGAGTTATGGCCCTTCAATATAATAGGTGTTTTTTTTTGTGTTGCCAGCTACACAGAAGCTTTTCTGGACTACTCCTCAGAAACTGCTGGTGCAATTTCAATTTTATAGGAATTATCAGTACAAAGTCTAGTTTTGCATATCATATGCATTTTCTGGTTCAATGATTTTTGTCAGAGTTATGACCCTTTAATAATTTTTATTTTTAAAGTTTGTTCAGACTACTCCTCTTATACCACTAATGCAATTTCAATGAAACTTTTCAAGATTGATTGGTAGCTCATAACACTGGGTTTTCTGCTTAAATGACTTTTTGCTGAGATAATGTCTCTTGGATCAGTGATCACATGTGTCGCCTCATGATAGCCTATTGCATGTAGCAGCAACTGTGTAACAGGAGACGCAAAAAACTTCTACGATCTAGTTTTCAGATTGGGGAATTCCCATTCATCCAGTGAATAGGCTACTATGATTTTATAAATAGTTTTGTTGACTACTGTTTGGACCAATGGGATTACAGCTATATTTAGATCATATAATAAATTGTTTAATCATATGAATAGCTACAATATGAGTCTCAATCTATTTTTAGATTGGGGAAATCCAATTCAGCCTATGAATATGATACTTCACCCAGTGAATATGATTTTATATGGTGTGTTGGCTACTGTTTGGACCAATGGGATAACAGCTATATTTAGATCGTATAATAAATTGTTTTATTATATAAATATAAGTCTCGGTCTATTTTTAAGACTGGGAAAAATTCAATTCCGGCAGTAAATATGATACTTCAATCCAGTGAATATGATTTTATAGATAGTTCTGTTGACTCCTATTTCGACCACAGGCGCTAGTCACATAATCAAATATTTTACATAATCGGTCTATATATGCATATACATATATAGACCGATTATGTAAAATATTTGATTATGTGACTAGCGCCTGTGATTTCGACCAATGGAATTTCAGCTATATCATATTTAGATCATATAATATTGCATGGATATACAGGCTGGCCTGATTCTATACAGGAGACAAATGATAATCAGATAACCAGCAGGGTAAGGTTTAATTAATTAATTAATTAAAAGTATTAATTAATTATTAGTAGTTAATTGATTAATTAATTAATTAAACCAATGATCTTTTTCTACATTTTCTAAGGTAAGCATATAAGGATGGCACAAAATCAACATTTTCTAAGGTAAGCATATAAGAATGGCACAAAATCAATAAAAGACTATTGTTTTATAGTTTTATTGAAAGCTGTATTCACGTACAATACCTTTCAAGTAACCCTTTACACTCTTTGTTTTAACTGAAATTTCAATCTAGATAAAAACCAATGATCATTTTTTAGAGGAACAATTCAAAACATTTCATAACTGAATAGCTAACAGTGCTCAGCACGGATGTGTCCGCCGATTTTTTTTTGTCTCAGCCCTAGTTGTGGGTAGAATTCAGTGGCCGCCAGTTGGCTCCGGGTTAATATCAAGTATAACAATGCATTACCTTAACACGTACATATCATGACAAATTAATAACAATACATCAGTTTCAATACAACAACAACATCATACTGTTACAAGGCAATCTATTTATATAACAAGAGGGGGCCAATTTTAGGCCAATATCGACCCTATAATGCTCACATGGACATTTTTTTCATCATATTATGATCTGATAAATAATGGCCAATTTTAAGACGATTCTTTCTTTGTCAGAAAGCCCTATTCTTTTTTAAGGATTAATGTATGTACGAGGGCTGTCCCAGTATGTCATGGATAACAGCATTTAAATACAAAATACTCAACTGACTTCTAAAAACATTTTTTCACTGATATCTAATACGACATTGCCGAGCAAACATGCAAAATTCCAGCATAATGAGACAGCCCTCGTATAATTCTGCAAAACCATGAGACTTTATTTAAGAAATTATGTTTAAATAAATCAATTCAATATCAGGACTTGTTTAAATCAATCTGGACAATTGCATCATTTTTAAGGAAAACATCATCTACTGTCCAAATAGTGAGGGGCAGAAGATTCAAAGAAAACCCTGTTTACAATCCAATCAAGATGGAAGCTTGACTTTTTTTTTTGCATACTACAGCCATAATGATTTAGTTTATGCAGAATTTATTTTAGCTCGATTGTGTAGGAAGCTATAAGCCTTTAGACACACTTTCAGATCCCTTGGTTCCTAGAATAAACAAGTATTAAGCAATAAGTGTAAAGTTTCTTGCGTAAGGAAACAACTTGTCCCCACAGGGTGTGACAGGGTTTGAACCAATGCGGCTAGCAATCAGTTCAGCAGACAGCTAGCGAAAACTAGTCCCATGTGATAACCACTGGGCCATGCAGCCACTTGATTTGACAATCTTTATGGCTGGAGAGTCAGGGTAGCATGCATTCCGTCAAGTTTGAAACAAAAAAAAACCCGTCAGAAATCCGAATGATCAAAAAGGGGCATGACTCAATCAAAATCCATAACAGAGTTATCTTCACTTGTCTGTAGATGGAGATCCTGGTCATAAAGTCTATTTATAGGTCTTTAACAAAGAAGAGAGTAACTATCAAGTTAAATGGGGAAAAAAGATGATTTTTTTCCCGACGGACATGCAGTGATCCAAAAAGCTCGCCATAAGTAACTTGGCTTTCAGATGAGCTATTGCACAATGAGAAAACCAAATCAATATACATCATAAAAAAAATAACTTAAAGTATCAACAAGTTTATATCACAAAATAAAATATCAGATATACAATATATCATAAACAAAAATACAATAGCCAAATAAAAAAAAACAGTGATGAAATGAAATTATGGGAAATGCTACAATATCATATATATTAATAGCTTTGCTTTTTTGTTGATCATCTCTAAGCAATATTGTATACAAATTTGTGACGAAATTTGTGCATGACCTACCTTGTAGTCAATTTCACAATTAGAAAATATATGGATAATTCAGTGTGTGTGTGCTTTTTTTCTCCAAATACTCAAAAAGAATAATGGCTTGAGCTTAAAATAGAAAATGGTGACTAGCCTCTATTAATCAGGCTCTGTGATTGGTCGATTTTGAATATGTAATGCGCTATTTATAAATAATTGGGAACTAGCCTGTCTATCAGGCTCTGTGATTTTTCAGTTTCAAATCTGACAATTTATATGCTGTAGTTTTCTATCACTTTTGGATTTCAATGCCAACTTTATATTGCGAGCAATTAAGTATTACTCAAATTAATTTTGAGGAGTTAATATATAATCAAGGAATGTTATAAATCATATGAGAACTGCAGCTGGGACAAAATCAAATGGGACATGCACCTGCAGCTTATTGCCTAATGATCTATTTCTTCAATTGGTTGCAGACACCTTCATTTTGTCATAATGATTGTTTAGAAAAAGGTATATTTATGTCCTTAGCAAACAATGTCTATAAGGAAAATATAAGCCAACTTTAGTATATGACTTTATGAAAATTCAACCAAGAATCTTTTTCTACATTTTTTAAGGAAAGAGCATAAGAAAGTATTTTCTATAATAAACTAGAAATGTGTCCATAGGACACGGGTGCCCCCACCGCGCCACTGTTCTGTCAATCTAATGACTCTAGGTCAAATATATTTTGAAAACTAAAAATCTTTTTACTAAGTAAAGGGCAAGAACTTAACAAATACTGAATAAATCCCCAAGCAAACCCCAAGTTGAAAATTGCAAATTTATACTACTGTAAGGCAGGGGCAATAACTCTAACAAAACTGAAAAAAATCCACATGCAAAATCCCAGGTTCATAGCTTCACAGTGATGTGAATCATTATTCCTGTAATTTAGTGATGTTGATTATTATTCCTGTAAAGTTGGTCGATTCTAACTCAAGCACTCAAGGAACAAATAACAACATAATGAAACGTTTTTTACTAAGTCAAGGGAAATAACTCAACAAAAACTGGATAAATCCACAAGCGAAACCCCAGGAGCAAAACTTAATATGCCGAGCAACCTTCCCATAAGGTTTAATGGCTCTATGTCAAATCCTTTTTGAGTTACATGCGACACAAGTTGAAAATTGCAAACATTTTCTAAGTCAAGGGCAATAACTCTAAAAATACTAAATAAATCCAGATGAAAATACCTGGTGCACAACTGCACATGCTAATCAATATTCCTGTAAAGTTTCATGACAGTATGTCAAATCCTTTTTGAGTTACATGCGACACAAGTTGAAAATTGCAAAATTTTACTAAGTCAAGGGCAATAACTCTAAAAATACTAAAAATATCCAGACGAAAATACCCAGGTGCACAACCTCACATGCTCATTTTACCCCTTCAAAAATTTGAGCTTAAAGGAACTCGACTGAGGTCAAACAGCCTAAAATTATAAAATTTGAAATTTTTACATAAATCAAGTGAAACACTTAAAATGGATAAATTTGAGAAAGATTATAAAGAAATATACTTAAAATTTAATTTTAATTCAGAAATTATTTTTTGTGCAATTTGTGCTTGATTTGAGAGAAAAAGGACTTTACAACGCTTTTTCATTTTTCGGTGTATCTGCACAACAAAGTTGAATTTACTGGAAAGCGGAGTTGAGGGAATGATCTAAAAATTTGCACACAAGTTATTGGTTCAGAACTACATTAAACGGTTAACAAAATTCTAAAAAAAAATTCCAGTCCCGTCATGCCTAAAAACCTCAGCCAAGTCCTTTTAAATACAATTTTATTATGAAATTGCAGTATCAACAAGAGCTGTCACAGGAGACAGCGAAGCTGACTAATAAAATACTGGACGCAGTAAGGAGGACAAAACTATGAAAGAACTAGAACTCCGCGAGTCGGATGTGTCGCCTTGTGAACAATATAGTTTAGGAGAAATGGCCAGTACAAAAATGAAATATGAAAAATAACCAAGGGCAATAACTAACAAGAACTGTCGGAGGACAGTAAAGCTCGACTATTCGAAAATTTGTCACAAGGGTGTTTCATTGAGTATAATAATGCTTACCTATATGAATACATAAAATTGTCCGAAAAGGTACAAACTCTTCAAGTTTCAATACATTCCCTTCAGTAGTTATGGAGATACAAGCTTACATACAAAAACTTAACCAAGATTTTCTAAGTCGAAAAAGGGGCATAATTATGAAATAAAACAATTCAGAGTTATGGGACTTGTACCAATCACCTTAGATAATCACAGAGACCAAGTGTGTGAAGTTTCAATCCACTCCCTTCAGTAGTTATGGAGATACCAGCTTACACGCAAAAACTTAATCAAAAATTTCTAAGTCGAAAAAGGGGCATAATTATGTTAAAAAGCAAATCCGAGTTATGGGACTTGTGCCAATCATCTAAGATAATCAGAGAGAACAAGTGTGTGAAGTTTCAATCCATTACCTTAAGTAGTTATGGAGATACCAGCTTACATGCAAAAACTTAACCAAGAATTTCTAAGTCAAAAAAGGGGCATAATTATGTAAAAAAGCAAATCAGAGTTATGGGACTTGTGCCAATTATCTTAGATAATCACAGAGAACAAGTGTGTGAAGTTTCAATCCATTCCCTTCAGTAGTTATGGAGATACCAGCTTACACGCAAAAACTTAACCAAGAATTACTAAGTCGAAAAAGAGGCATAATTATGTAAAAAAGCAAATCAGAGTTATGGTACTTGTGCCAATTGTCTTAGATAAACACAGAGAACAAGTGTGTGAAGTTTCAATCAATTCCCTTCAGTAGTTATGGAGATACCAGCTTACATACAAAAACTTAACCAAGATTTTCTAAGTCGAAAAAGGGGCATAATTATGAAATAAAACAATTCAGAGTTATGGGACTTGTGCCAATCATCTTAGATAATCACAGAGAACAAGTGTGTGAAGTTTCAATCCATTCCCTTCAGTAGTTATGGAGATACCAGCTTACATACAAAAACTTAACCACAGGGACGCCGACAAATGGGTGACTGCATTAGCTCGATTATTCTGCGAATAGTCGAGCTAAAAAATAATAAGTGCAGAGCAGCAGGTTCTGTGCACTGCACTTCTTATCAATAAGATCTATCATTCTATGATGTTTCAAGTCCATAGCTTTCATACTTGAGGAGAAATGACCAGGACAAAAATAAAGTAAGAAAATCAACAAAGGGCAATAACTCAAAAAATAAGAAATGCAGAGTATCAGTTCTTATGCACTGCACTTTTTCTTAATGAGATCTATCATCCTATGAAGTTTCAAGTCCATAACTTTTATACTTTCGGAGAAATGGCCTGGACAAAAATTAAGTATGAAAATTAACAAAGGGCCATAACTCAAAAATTAAGAAATGCAGAGTACCGATTCTTGTGCACTGCACTTCTTCTTAATGAAATCTATCATCCTATGAAGTTTCAAGTCCATAGCTTTTATACTTAAGGAGAAATGGCCCGGACAAAATTAAAGTATGAAAATAAACCAAGGGCAATAACTCAAAAAATAAGAAATGCAGAATACCTGTTCTTGTGCACTGCACTTCTTCTTAATGAGACCTATCATCCTATGAAGTTTCAAGTCCATAGCTTTTTTAGTTGAAGAGAAATGGCCCGGACAAAATTAAAGTATGAAAATTAACAAAGGGCAATAACTCAAAAAATAAGAACTGCAGAGTACCGGTCCTTGTGCACTGCACTTCGGGTTATTGAAAGAAGCATGCATACCAAGTTTGAAGTCAATCAGACTTATAGTGACTGAGTTATGCTCCGGACAAGCTTTAGGGGACGCCGACAACGACAACGACACAGACGCCGCCGCCGACAAAAGTAACCCCTATATGTCACCTTTTCAAGGCGACACAAAAATCAATTATGTATAATTATGTATTAAGTTATAGTAAAAAAATAACATTTGTTAACATTAATTCCAAGATCAAGGGGAATAATACTGGAAATAGTCATGCTAGAGTTATGGACCTTGTCACACAACATTTGTGTAATGATAAGAAATATATATTTGAAGTTTGAAGAAGATACCTTAAAAAGTAAATCCTAAGTTCAAAGAGAGATAAATCTCTAAATATTGCTTCAAAAGTTATGAACATTGTCACATAAGATGTGGATGATGATAACGTACATATATTTGAAGTATGAAGTTGATCCCTTTAGAAATAAATAAGTAACAGTAAAATATAATATTTTTTATGGAAAATTCTAAGTTCAAAGGGAGATAAATCTGAAAATATTGGTGCTAGAGTTATAAACCTTGTCACATAAGATGGGGATGATGATAACGTAAATATATTTGAAGTATAAGGTTGATCCCTTAAGAAATAAAGAAGAAACAGTAAGAAATAGTATTTTTTGAGGAAAATTCTAAGTTCAAGGGGAGATAAATCTGAAAATATTGGTGCTAGAGTTATGAACCTTGTCATATAAGATGGGGATGATGATAAGGTACATATATTTGAAGTATGAGGTTGATCCCTTAACAAATAAAGAAGTAACAGTAAAAAATAGTATTTTTTAAGGAAAATTCTAAGTTCAAGGGGAGATAAATCTGAAAATATTGGTGCTAGAGTTATGAACCTTGTCACATAAGATGTGGTTGATGATAAGGAACATATATTTGAAGTTTGAAGTTGATACCTTAAGAAATGACAAAGTTATAGTGAAAAATATTTTACTGCACCAAAACTTTAATCTAAAATCTGGACGCGGACGCAGACGCCGGGGCGAGTAGGACCGCTCTACATATACTTCGTATAGTCGAGCTAAAAATGTTAAGAGTTTCAATTACAATATCTGTAAACACAAACAAACCTCATTTCCTTCATTTGAAAAAAAAAAAAACAACATCAAAATGGCTACCACTGAAATGCTATTAAAGTATTAGTATAATGTGACTAATTCTGACAATGTAACAACAAAACAATGGAAAACAAGTTAATTCTTAACAGGGGGTGATAAAACATACTGGACGATTTCATTTCACACTTTGTTCGGCTCGGAACAATAATAAGTGTCATATAAAAATATAATTCTCAATCACTATTCTGGAATGCTTTTCACTTTTGGCAACAAATTCAAAACTAACTTCCGGGTCTTGAAATTTTTAAGACAACAAGATTTAACTCCCTCTCAGTCTAACAGTTAAGGTACAGTTTTAAATGTATTGTCTAAAAGTTTTTTTTTATCTATAGAATGAAATAGAGATATTCTATAAACAGGTGCGGTAAAAAAAATTTCTTAAAATTTCTTTAACTTCAACTTCGCAGTACTTGAAATTGATTATTGTTACAAATATTTTTGTTACAAATGCTGACAAAATTTTTAATTTGTCCATTGTTATATTGATCTCTTGTTACCAGTTTTACCTTATTTCACCTGGAATGACTCCTAAACAATGAAACAACGTGAAAACAAAATTAGATTATTTTTGAAAAATAAAATTAGTTATCTGGATACAAATAAAGGAAATCCAAATGTATCATACAGGATAATTTTCCTTACAAAAAAAAGCTCTCTTTACAAAAAAAAGTTAAGTAAAAATTAGTGACATCAAATCAGAAGAAATATTTTTTTCATTTTTTGCCCAAGATAAAATAGTGTTAGGATGTAAAGCAAGATGAAAAAAAGAAAAGCAATAAGGGTCAATAAAGAAAGAATATTCATATCTACAGTGACACAATCTTATTGTTACAAAAAAGTTTCTGATACAAAATTGAGCATCTTTGACATTTAAGTGAGTTCCCATACATGTAATTTGCTTCTAATCCTTGCCTTGAAGAAATTCCCTTCAATCATTTTTGTTGGATCGGGCTTGTGAATTGACAGAAAACACACCCCAGTGTCCAGTCATTCCAATCTCTCACCCTGGCATATATTTTGCTTAAATAATGAAAAACAACGGCCACAACAACAGCTAGAACAAATAAAGATGAAAATATTTTCACAAAAAAAACAACACCTACTTCATGTACTTGAAAAAACATTTTTGACGAATCATATCAATATTTAAAGCTACATGCCTCCAGATAAGCCAAAATATTTCAATAAAAGCACCCCCCAACTTAAAATGTACTAAAATTTTATGAAAAAGATAATATTTTACAAGTAATGTGTGAGTAATTATTTTCAATATTTATGACCATATTTATACTGCGTTACTAATGCAGTTAAGGCTATTTTAAATATTTTTACCTCATTTTGGTAATTTACATGGTTTTTGAGGTGCTGTTTGTAATGTGCAAGTTGCTTCCTTTTTGATTACTTCACAATATTTTACTTTTAAACACATTTTTAAAATGTTCATGAAAATCAGCATGAATCTTGAGGCATACTGCTTTAAATATCACCATCAAAAAATGCAAGTTATCAAAAATAGCTTATTGCAAGTGTTTACTGGCCAATGATTTTTTTTATTCTATGGTGGGTATAGAATATTTTAAAATATATTTTATAAGAGTTGTTAAATATGTGCCATTTTTTGTGTGTTGTTTTTCCTCATTATTCATCAGCGTGGGTACTCATTCATGAAAATAAAATATAGATCAAAGCATATGAGCAAAAAATGTAGCAGTGCTTTCAACTCACTTAACTGACAGAAAGGCCTTCGGTCTTCTTGATTTTGGAAAAAAAGATCATCACTTAAATTGCTTATTTGGAAATATAAAAGCTAGTGTAAGTTCAGATTTTTTGAAAAAATTGCACAATTTTAAAGAAAATTTGGATTCGGAAGAAGGTTTTTATATGCCTAGGCCTATGTGATATTAAGTGAAAAATCACTGTGTAGAAAAGTGGAAATCTGCAAATTTGTTTGTTATTTAACAACATCATGTACCAAACAATATTTCTTATACAATCCTATGTAAAGTCGGTTTTCACAGAAAAATCAATAGACTCTGCCAGAAATTCTATATTTATTGCATTTTATAACCATAAAGTTGTTAATAGATTTTCTCAGTTTTTTGACATTCATATTTCCAATATTGTCATAATGTTGTTTTCATTTTTACATACCAGAACTCATCAAGTTTCATAAGATAACGGGTCCAACAAAACCATCATCAAATGAGGGTCCATCAGTAAGTTCTATTGAAGAGGGTTCAACAAAAAGTTTTCTATTAATTAAGGGCCCTACTAAGAGACCAGGCTGATTACGGTACTTAAAGTCTGATAATAAAAAAAGTCTTCATGTGATAGAGTTTTATCACTTGAGGGTATATATATTTTTCATTTACAACATGTGGGTCACCAATTAAGAAATTTCATAAGAAAAATGATTTTAAGCGTACTTTCCGAGAAATACTTCAAAATATTATGTAGGTATCACTATATCGTTGGATGGGAATGAAAAGAATTCTTCAAATTACAAGTGAGACAGAGTTCATGGAAGTCGTTATAGACTGCAGAACAAGATGAAAACAAGAGCACTGGGGTGGCAATATTTACTCCAAAGAATTTGGTTCCATGAATTAAAAGTCATCTTTCAATTAAGGAAGAGACCCATTAAAAAAAACTCGACTGAAAAATGTTTTATCTTTCATTTTATTCTTATAATACTAAATGACCCCCTACCTCCCAGGGTGGGAGCATTTCTGACCCTATGTGCATGACTTTTAAAACTTTTGTAGAGGTCTACTAGGCATTTCTTCGTGCCAAATATATAAACTCAGGGCATAACAGTGTTCCACAAAAAGATTAGATATATTTAATTTTTAACCCATGGATAAGGATCTAGGGGTTGTAAAGGTCAACAAGGAAATGCTACATGCCAAATATTTAAGCTGTGGGAATTGCAGTTCAACACAAGAAGACTTAAATATATTTCCCTATGTAACTCAAGTAACTCCCACAGCGGGGCAGGTATTAAACCAAGGGGCAAGATTAGCACTCATTTTCACTAGGTACATTAAATTTTTTAACTTATACCCAATGACTAAATGTAACCTTGACCTGGGGAAAGTCAAATCTACGCTCTGCACATTGTCTCATCATGGTATAACATTTCTACTATTACTATAATATTACTTTCTTCAGCTCAAGAGATACAGACCGGATATGAAATTGCTTACAGACGGTTGGTCCAACGACAAGGTGCGTTACAAGTATACTAAAAAAATGCTTTTGGGTGTTAAAAAAAATGTATAGATCTGAAAAACTTGATTCATAAACTGTACATAGTATTTCAAATCATTAAGTATAAAAGCAATTAAGCCTCTCCTCCTCTGATCAAGTAAAATCTGACTGAACTTCCAATATTTAATTGTAATGAACGAATTATTGCGTTCTTTCTTTGAAGCTATGTCCATATTTTACCAGAATACAAGAATACAAGAAAGTTGCCTGGAAAAAAAAATTACGAAGCATGAAGCAAATGAAATTCAGTGAAATATAAATTCTCTAAAAAGGAATGGATCTGTATAGAATAAAAAAAATCTATAAATAGAAACATGTTACGTGGGATGGAGAAAGAGCTACACTTAGCATTAGTTTATTTCTAATTTTAAAGTTTTGCATCAAATTCACAATATGTAAGGCTGTTAACTTGTTCAATTTACAATACTCGAAGAAGGCGATATTCGTCCGTCCTGCATCGCCAGTTCGCAACTCTCACGTCTTGTGCGTTTCATGTGGCCACTCAGAACGTCAACATCCTTATTACACATTTCTTCACTTTTACTTTTCTCTTCGACGGAATCGTCCATTTTACTCTTTTTCTTTTTATATATTTCTTCGCTTCGACACTTTGAAAGAGTCTTTTCTTCACCATTTCCATACTTGCAAAATTTCATTGACATCGAAGAAACACTGCCGTTCAAACTAACAATTACATCGTTACTACTACCATCTGAGAGCGGAGGCGTCAACGATGTCGTACTTTTCTGTTTATCACTACTATCACTGTCGCAATCGACGCGACTTTCAACAGGCTCCACATGAATGAAACCTGGGTGATCATTTTCTACCTCCGTTAATAACACTGCCGGCTCAGAGTTTATTCGCCCAGTGACACGTCTTTTACTGCACCGATCCAATGCGTCATCTGAATCAAAATCATCTTCATTGCACATTTCCGATAAAGAGTCTATTCCATGTTTACCCATAGGCAAGTCAAGGACAGCGTCCTCAGCCTGAAAGCTCTGCAAGCTGACCTGGTCTGAAAAGTGAACATTCATCTGTTCTGTTGCATGCTTTTCTGCAAGTTTTGCGGCTCGTCGGCACTTCCGACACCTAGCACTGTGATGACGGGAACCGTCCTCATGCTCAGATGTCATTCCAGAGTTGGAATGAGGGGAACCAGGACAGGAATTGGTCTTCTTCTTGTCATCATGAGAGATTCCTTGGGAAAAGACATCAGCATTATTACAATTGAAAAACAGATTTTCACACACAACACGAAATTCGTATAATTTTAAATACTAGTACATTAATAATTTCAGGCACAAAGGGGCACCTGAATAGAACCACCAACAATTTTAAGCTAGTTGGATCCCTGGTCCCTGTCAGACTCAAACCCACAGTCATGAGGGCAAGAGTGGTTTGAAGTCAACATCCTGATCCACTTGGCCATAGCCACCCCTGATCACTAAAGGGTACATTTCTTTTAACATAATGAAGAAATATATATTCTTCAAAGTAAACTATACATAGCAAATCTAAGATCTCATTGCTATATCATCAAATTCGCACAAAACAAGTCATGTAGGTTTATTGATAACATTTTTTTTTTTTTTGCACCAACTATTCAACAGTGACAGATATTATCTATAGTTCACTGTAAACTTACTAGATGAGAGACTAGAAATGTCCAAATCTCGTGGCGTCGTACGTCCACCCTCTACAGTCAATGGTACATGATCAACCTCTGCCTTGGCTGATTTCGCTAAATCTACATGCACATCAGATGGCGTCAAAGATGCCGAATCGAACCTTAAAATAAAACAATAACAATTAGTAGTAAGTCAAGAATATTTGTACAGCTAAGTTCAGTTTATTACTGGGTGCAACTTTCACATTATTACAGAATTTGAGTAATATAATTTATAAGCTGGCAATTATTATAAATAAAGTCTCGTACTAAATTATGAATTTTTTAACCAGTTGTCCTGAAATTTACTGCTGCAAGTGAAATACCGGTAATTATAAGTTTTATTTAACTACTACAGAAGAATGTATACAAACAATTCATTAAAATTTGCCACCATAGATAAGTAGCATTTGATTTACATCTTTTTCAAACTGAATCAAGGAAAAGCCATGCTCAACACAAAGGACTCTATAATTGTAAACTTTCTATATTTTACATCCCTAATCCTATATCTTATATACTGTTCACCCCTAATCATATATCTTATCAAAAGTTTTATTAGAAGTGGGAATTATAGACCCACCTGGGAGACTGACACATGCATTATCATAGTCCTGAAGCCCCAAGTAAAGCAATTAAGGTAACAAACTAGCCCATCATATGAAAAGTCCCCTTAGTGCAGTAACGGGTAAAGTTAATAGGAGTTAACCAGTTATTCACTAGTTATCCAATGCACTAAGGTAACGATAACGTGCAACACTTTTCATTTCAGACATACTTGTAATTAGCTATTGAGCCAGCAAGGCCGCGTGTGCTTGCGTCATCTCCGATACCAGATTTCTCGCCAAGTGACTTTTCTCCGATACTAAAGTTGGCAGAGCCACTGCTGAAACTTGCACGTTTTCCAGTGGGTACGTCTGTCTCCATCTCTGCTTGTACTTCCAGCCTGAAAAATAAAAATTTCATGCTGAACATACATTGGATATACAAAAAATACTAGAGATATGTTCAGGTCAGACACATAAAGTATCCTCTTTGTTTCTGTTATGCTGATGCCTCTATTTTTTTTACAAGTAGATCAGTGGGACAAATGCATTAGTTAATACAAAGTTAGTTTAGTTTGATTGTGTTGGACGCTATAAGCTTATTGGAACACTCGCGAATCTGTTTCTGAAACCAACCAGTACTAGGCAATGAATGTACAGTTTCTTTCTCAAGGAAATAATGGCTTGCCCCTGAAAGGGTTTGAACCCACACAGTCAGCAATCCTTAGATTACTAGTCTGAAGTGTCAGCAACTTCAAATATTTGCCACAAAGGCTCTTTTTTCTTTCTTTATTTTTTTCCCATAGAATATCATAAACTAAAAGTGTAATAAATCAACTTGAACACTTACTTTGTATGCATTCCAATAACTGCAGCGTAAGTGCTCCCGCACATACTGCCGTTTAGACTCGAACCTGCTATTGCTCGATGACTGGCAGAATCTCGGTCACTCTCGTCCTCGCGGCTTACACCAACGCGATCAATGTGTGTACCACTTCCACTATACAAACTATTGTTCATTCCAACACTAGCCTCGCCAATGCTCGGTGCGATACTTGGGTTCGGAACCTGATGACCTGTTCCGACGCTCTGGCTGTCGACAGCACCTGCAACATTAAATTGAAGAAGTAAGATCATAAATGAAAGTACTTGCAGACATATAAGGTTATTTGATGCCCTAATCCTTAAAAAAACATTGCATCAATAAACATTATCTGAACATGACAAGAATGTAGCTTAGGATGATTAAAATAAAGTTAATTTAACACAAAATATGTTACACAAAAAGAAGAAATATGTTCAAAGAACACATAGGCACCCTCATTTCACTATTTTTGTCAGCCTGCAGATGAACAGCGTAATGGTTGGAAAAGGGCAAATCTATATGCAATTTCCCATCCCATAAATGGGGGCACACCTATAATAACAAATAAATTTGACATAGGGTAGGTAGTAAATGGTATAGAAAATGTAAGTAAACTGACAAGATTCATCCTTAAATTTCTATATATAAGAGAATAACAGGCACGACTCAGAGCTTTATACATCATCTTTGTGCCATGTTAATCAATAAAGTGTCGCGGGGTTACAAAATGTAAGACCGTGCTCCCTTTGGAATGTATTAAGCAGCTATTCTGAATCTGATTGAGTTACCATGGCATAATCCCCCACTTTATTCTAGTAAAATATCTATATATTCTAGTGTAAAATGAATGATAGTGAATATACATAAAGTCTGACCTCGATGCTATAAAAAATGCTCTATATCAGGAAATTTTTCATTGGACAGTCAGATTTATGAACAAATGTCCAGGTCTGAGCTTGAGATTAATTTTTTTAGGAAACTCAGTCACTTATGATTTAACTATTTAATCATTAAACTTTGTCTAAAACAACATAAAAATTCCCAATTCTGGGGGGGGGGGGGGGGGGGGGTCGGGTCTTGGTCCCTAAGTGCTGAGAAAAAAAAAAACACCCTGGAATACAATTATAAAATTGTCTTTCTGTGTTCCCGAAGTGCCGAGAAAAAACCCTGGAATACTGCTATAAAATTATCTTTCTAAAACAGGTATGAATCATAGATCTTTTTAGTATGAATTTCTTACATGCTGTACAAAACAACAAGGAAAAATCAATATCACTCTAACTTTCATTAGCACATAGTTCCAGAATATAACTTGTTATTCAGCAAGTATTATATGAGTAATATACATGTACATGTATGATGTAATGAACCCTTACAAAACAGGCACAAATACTAAACAAGATATACCATGCTCACATTTTATATTAGAAAATATTGATATTTGCTACACACTATCTTTGTAAAAAACAACCAAAGAAAACCAACATGTTTTGAGTTCATACAAAGTAAAATATGTTATGTTTTAAACTCTCCACACTATGAGTGGTCACAATATGAAAATATAGTGTTGTGTGGCAAAATCTGGCATTTTTTTAAAAAAGAAATGACCAACTTCACTTATCCTGTAATAGGGAACACAGCTTCCCATGCAAATTTTATTCACTATTTTGTTCAAATTAGACATATTAAGAAAGAATTTCATCGATTTCAATAAAGTTTCGTGATTAAAATATTTTACTCAATGATGGACAAAGTATATCTTTACACTTTACTTTTAACCATAACCTTAAATTTGATAGGGCTTTTTGTTTTTGTTTTGCTTTTTGTCATTTCTTAATACTCTTAATTTTCTATAATTCCATTACATGTTGTTCTGTGATTTTTTTTATACAAAAGTTTAAAGGCCCATTATGCCTGAGAAATGCTTTAATTTATTTATATTCAAATTCTTTTTAGTTTTGGCTAGCATTATAGTTTACTGGCAAAAAAATTACCTGAACCATCTATCCCTTCTGTTGCTTTTTGGCCATTAGTAAATAAATAGTGAAGTTTTAGTATAAGGTATTTCATATGGAAGTCCAAATACTACTTTGTTTACATTATACTACCGTTATGACAAGTTATTTCACATTTATCACTACTTTCTTCAGGTAACAGGTAGCTAACTTGCTCCAAAACCATTATTTTAAAGTTATAAAAATTTTGTTAGCTCTTTATACGAAGTAAACAAACATTTTGAAGCATAATGTTCCTTTAATGTTTATCTTTTTTTTTCAATGTTAAGTAAACCTTATTAAGGCCATGGAAAGTAATGTATGGGCGTTAAATAGAGACAATATGGTATTTCTTTAAACTCCTGAAATTGCGATTTTCGAAAAATTTTAAAATATCCACTCATACTGTTTTGACTTGGCTTAAATTTAGATTTAATTTGCAGTAAACATTTTCAGCTTCTTTTACCTCTTAAAACATTCCTTACAATTGTTTTACTTGTTTTACAATTATTTTCTCAAGCTGCAGGAAACCAAAAATGTGCACCCATTGTTGCCAGTTTAGAGCCAGGCCAGCTTACATATCCATACAGTCCGACCAGGATAGTACTGGTGGTAGCCCATTTTTTTAAAAATTATATTCAAATCTCTTTAACTTGAAATGGACTGTTCAAAATTCAAATCTGGGCAAGTTCATTGCACAGTAAGCAGGTAAAGATTTTCACATATATCCTAACCTACCTGCGTAAGTAGAGTTGCCTGTTTCGTTTTCCTCAAACTCAAACCTGACACCTCCGCTGTTTGTTGTCCGTACTCCACAGCCTCCGCTTCTACACAGTGAGATTGGGACAACCCCGTAAACATAGCCCAGAAGTATAGGCACCCCAATACCTGTTATACAAAGCAGAATTTGCAACATATTTTGATGAACATTTTATGATGAAATATCTAATTACAACAGTCATGATAACTAACTTCTTTTGATATTTTTGTTCGGCTTCAGTCAAAGTCATCTTAACTATTTTATGGACAAGCAGACCTTATGTACATTTATTTCATGCATATTTAGGATATTTTCTTTTTTGTATTGTCATTAGACAAGGTTCAGAAAACATTACCTAACTCTAAATTTCTGATTTTACCCAAAATGATGTTGGAAATAAATCAAAACTCAGCATGAATTTTTTTCACATGCACCCAGTTAGCACTGCTTTTGCATTTTCTGAAAGGGGTTATGTATTCCTATTCATTGAAATTTGGAAAATTGACAAAGAATGAGCCCCTTTAAACGAAAAACAAGAGCTGTCGGTAGGAGAGCGTGCTCCCATCTATCCTCAGAATGCTTGATAGTAAGACAAAGAGCCTGGATAATGTAGAAATTTCAAAGAACAAAAAGCGCCATAGTTATGTCAAAATCCATCTTAAGAGTTATGGGCCATGGAAATTTATTCCCTACTGTGCTCTCAAATAAGTGTGTGAAGTTTCAACCCATTCCCTTAAGTAGCTGTGGTGATACAAACTTTGACACAAAAACTGAACCAAAGTGTGATGCTGAAGCTTAGATAGTTAAAAAGCTCTCCCTATTCTTTCAAGTCGAGCTTATAAAATCTTCAAGAACCTTTCCAATACTAACCTACAGCTAGGCCTGCAACAATAGGTGATACCAGTATGGATGCTGTTACCCCACCCACTATGGCTACGTTATGTTTATGTTTTGAAGAATGTTCAAATCGGGAATGTATCTGAAAAGGAAAATGTAAACAATGTCATAGTTTATACAAATTTGTTTTAGTTTGATAATGTTTGAAGCTATAAGCTTAATTGAAAGTCTTGAATATGTTTCCAAGGAACCAACCAGTACTTAGCAATGAATGTAAAGTTTCTTGCTCAAGGAAACAACGGCTTTCCCCCTGACAGGGTTTGAATCAACATGGTCAGCAGTCTGATGTGTTGACCACTCGACCATGCCACCACATTGTCTTAACTAAGACATGTGTACATATTTTGTTACAAAAAAATAGCCTGTCCTTATCTTGGAAAATAAATTCAATGACCTTGATATTTCAACAAAGAGGCAGAGAAAGATAACATATTTATACTGCTGGAGTTTTTAAAGGCTCATTATGACTCAGGAATGTTTTTATTTTAATTTCTCAATTTTTTTTAAAGATACACTATGCTTAATTTGATATCAGGAATTATTGGTAATTGCTACACAGTCTCTTTGTAAATCTAAAATAAACATGTTGTGACTTCACAGTAGATATTTCATGTTTAAAACTCTACACACTTTAGGTGGTCACAATATGAATATATAGTGTCGTTAAAAAAACTGGCAGTTTTTTAAGAAAATACCAACTTTACTTATCCTGTCAAAGGGAATGTGACTTCCAATACATAGTTAATTCACTTTTTTTTATTCAAATTAGACATATTCAGTAAGGATTTCATAGGTTTTAACAAATTTCTTTGATTAAAATATTTTACTCAAAGATGAGCATAGCATATTTTTAATTTTAGCATACTCATATAGTATCAAAAAGTTACAGTACTCATTGGCCAATTACCAGAACCATCTTTTTCATCTGTTGCTTTTTTGGCAATAATAATTATATGGAAGTCAAAATTCTACTTTGTTTCCATTTTGCTACTTTTATGACAAATTATTTCATATTTATCACTACTTTCTTACAAGAATCTAAGATTCTCTAAAACCATTATTTGGACATTATAAAATTATTAATTAAAATTAATTAAAGAAGTAAAAATTTATTTGTTTATGAGGCATAATGTGCCTTCAAAGAGTATTCTTCTCAAAAAAATCTGACCTTGAAATTTTTAAGGGGATATAAGGCATTGATTTTAAGCATGCGCCATTTAAAGATTTACTTTTAAGGCAATATACAAACAAATTTCTTCCATACAGGCATTTTGGTATTACTGTTTTTATAATATTCTAACAATAACCTTGTACACTTAAGGCAGCAGAATTATAGCTTTATACCAGAGCAACAGATATAGAGGATATTTGTTTGTTTGTGTGTAAGATGAAATTTTATTTCATCGAGTGAGCTTTAAAAACAGTATTCTCACGAGTTCACGAGATGAAATAAAATTACATCTTACACAACAAACAGACAAATTTTCTTTTTATTTTATGCTTAAAAACAAGTTAAAACGAAATTTCCATAATTTTTACGTTAATATTAAAATCTGTTTCCCCCATTGAGAGCCCCATTTAGACGGAATTTCTCATTTAAAACAAGAAGTCTTGAGCTGAAAAATAAGTCCGCCAATCAAGGTTAAATGACGGTGATATTTATTCATTTTATTAAAAAAATATGAATGATCGCTTGTTTTAATAATAAAAACAAACAATTCTTGCAGGAGAAAATTCCAACCATCCATCCATATTTCTGTTACTTACTGCGAATTTATATTAGACCTGGTTTCTTAAATGTAAACGGCAGCCATTTTTTAAAGTTGTGTATTTCATGGGAGGAAAATAATTGTGTAAGATTCAGAAGGATATAATTTGGATTTGTTAGTCATACACCTTTTTAAAAGAAAGAAAACTTATTTGAAGATTGTAACAGACAAAAAATATGGGTTGACAGTAGTGAAAACATTCAGAAAAGGAGCTAGGAAAATGGAAAACTTGGAAGCTTGCTGAAGGAACGCTGGGTTAATTTACTTATTTTACGAGTGATGGCTGTCAATGCTTTAAAATTTTTCATAAAGCATACGGCAGTTATTGCTCGTAGGATACTTTAATATGCCCAAATGTCATCAAGAGCAGTTTTGCATGGGGAAGGACTGTAAAAACGAAACAAAAAAAAATTTAGAGACGAAATTTGGTGATTGGAATTTGAGGAATAGAAGTAAGTTTTCTCTCTGTGTTACTTTTGACATTTAAGTTATTTATCTATTTCAGCTTTGCTATTTCTTTTAACAGCCTGACATTGTCAGAATTGTCCGTAAAAATAAAATTGAGGTACCACATGGGGAAAATCTTAAAAAAGTAGTTTCGTCATTGAAAAAAGTGAAATTTTATTTTGATAATTTTCACTGTGAAATTATCAAATATAATTTTCACGGATAAATCAGTAATCCACTGAAAAGCATAAAATAAAAGGTGCGTATTTGCGTATTTACGCAATTAATTTTATAAAATACGCAATTGATTTTTTAAGAATGTGTATCAAAACCCATTAAAAAAAATAAAATACGCAATTGTCTTAAAAACCCGTGCGTATTGTCATTTTTATCACCGCAAAATTAATCTGTCGTACACTCGTAGTTTTGGACAAATTATATCGATATGCATGATATCCGAATATTCCAGAATCAATGCTAACTAATCAACAGTCTCCGGTCTTCGACAGTCCCAGGTCTCCAAAGACCGACTAAGCATGAGACCGTCGATTTGTCTACTCAGGTTGACGGTCTTTACCGACCGTCAGAGACCGTTGATTTTGCGGAGACCGTCAATAGGTAGGTCCCAGCTGTATCAATAGACGCTTTGAAAAGCAATATGGCGTCGTACAAAGTGAAAATGATTTGAAACAAAACAGTCGCAAAATAATAAAAAATCAGTCAGAAAATGAACTTGTTAAAAATTTAATGAAATTTAACATGAGCATTTTATATAAAAAATAAAACAATTGTGAAAAGTTCTAGTAAATTGTTAATCCTATTTTCTTTTTAAAACAGTTAAGATATCTAAATTTAATGTTATTGATATTGAAACCATAAAATTCATATCTTCATAATTGAATACCCAATTGATCTTGAAATCATAGGGTATCGAGTTTTGGAATACCCAATTAAATGGAGCCAATACCCAATTCCAAAGGAAATGATGGAGTAATACCCAATTCACTTTTAAAGCTTATCTGTTGCTCTGTTTATACACTTAAATTCTTCAATCTAACTACAAATGTACTAAATCAAGCATAAATGTACTCCTTTAAGAAAGAGCTGCAATGTACGTAATGACCTGAGCAAACCCGATTAAGATTTGTGTCAGATTTTTTTTATTGTTTATGGAGTACCTACAGTAGGTTTTTTAAGGCAGTATTTCTTTTAATTTCACCTTCAATGGCTTTTTCTACGAAATTTTCAAAATTTACCATTAAAATGCTGTTTAAAATTTTCAACAGCCCTGTAACTTATGTAGTATGTCATCAAGGGCAGTATGGTGTTTGTTTCCTAAGAAAAATAGTAAAATATACAAACTTTTCTTCCAACCCAGACCGGTATGCCAATTATCATAGCTGGAACCGCTATGCCTGCTAGAAGTGTGATGCCAACAGGGGCTCCAACCAGGGTACCAAGCTGCCACAATATCTTCTTCTTTCTACTCCAAGGCTTCTTACCCCAAAATGTGCAACCTGATGGACTGAAAAAAGAAGTATTAAGTAAGAATTATTGTTAGAAATTAACACATATGGCCCGATCAGATTCAATGAATAATACAGCATCTTTGACCTTTAAACCGTGCACATTACAATTTTAAAAAGCAGGCATTATATCCTAGATATACTGATCTACCATCTATAAGGCTAGAATCAGATGACCAACACCTGCTGGCATTCTCAAAAGACGCCCAATTAGTTTATACCAATTTATTTTCAGTTCGGACTGTGTAGGAAGCTATAAGCTTATTGAAACATTCGTGAATCAATTCCTGGAACCAACCAGTTCTAAGCAAGGAGTGTAAAGTTTCTTGTAAAGATGCACTATTACAAGACCACAAATGCCAATTTTTATATTTACTGACAAAGAACATAAACGCATGGGTGCAAGTTCAAAATGTTGGAAATCCTGAAAACCCTATGACTAGCAGATTTTAAATGGCTAAATAGATAAAAAAAGAGTGCTTTGTGGCATATAAATACCAGCACTTGAGGCAAATGCCTGAAAACTTGTAACACTGTTATCATGCATGGCCGAGAGGTTAATGTGTCGGGCTAGTAATCTAATGCTCCCTAGCCACATGGGTTCAAACCCTGTTCAAACAGCTCCTACACAATCGAACCAGGGTGTTCACTAGTCATGAAATCCTGAAGTTCATTTTGACTAAGTTTACCGACTACAAGGCCAAATCCCCATGATTTTAACAAAATTTGACCCTCCAGTTAAAATTCTGAGGGTCAAATCGGGTCGTTTGGAAATTTGAAGGGTTAAAGAGTCATATCAAGAGTCAAACGGACACCCAGCGAACTAAAATAAATTCGGTATAAACCAAGCTTACCTTAAGTAGTGAAGGTCAGAGATTTCTTTCATACACAGCCAACAAAACTCGGCACCACACACTGTACATGTCATATGATTACACGAGCCATCATTCTCTTTTACTATAAAGGCCGAACACCGTGGACATGGCTTGATAAAATCCTCTAAAATTAGAAAATCAATATTTTACTAATTGATGCATAAATTATACAGCATGCATTTTGATAAGCTATTATTCAATTTACTGCACATATAATTATCATTAGTCAGGAAATTTCTGTGTGAATATGACCACAAATTATCAATGAAAAGAGTGTTTGATTGCTTATAGAAAATATATATTATTGGTTTGATACAAAGCAAACAAAAGGGGGCATAACTTGGCAAATATAAATTTTAGGATTATCTGCCTTTATGAAATGATGCCATTGTTTGCCAGTGAACATGTATATCAAGTTTGAAATAAATAGCTTTGATAGTTTCTGAGAAAATGAATCTTAACAAAAATGTTAAGCAGGGCTAAAAATTTCAGTTGATAAAGGGGCCTAACCTTGCACAAAATATTTTAAGGATTATCTGCCCTTTTGAAATGGCATCTTTTTGTGACAATAAGCATGTAAACTAAGCTTTAAGTGAAAAGCCCTTATATGTTTTCTGATAAAATGGACCTTATTGAAGAAGGTTTAAACCAATGCTAAGGATCATACTTCTTTTCAATACTTTGCCAACTGCATTGCCATTGTATAGAATACTGACCCCAAAAATTGCAGCCAAGGGAGGTAAACATTGTAAAAATAATAAAAATCTGAACATTCTATAGATTCTAGGTAACACACTGTTTTAATGTTAAAACTTAAGCTATCACAAAGTAAATTAAGATACAGCCTTAACATAAGAAGCAGTCTTGCATTTAAAAATCTACCAAATGCTTTAAATCTGGTAATGAAACATAAGTCACTTTAGTGCAGTAATGGGTCAAGTCCTTCTAAATTTAATAGGAGTTAAACAGTTATTGCACTAAGGTAACGATATGCTAGCTTTTCCTTTTACTGCATGATTTTAGTTTATTTTATATCTTCAGTGGAAACTGGCACTTACTCTTATAGAAGCAATGGAACGCAAAATTGACCATAAACATGTAGATAGGCAATAAATCTTACTCTGAACAATTCTAGGAGATAGTGATAACGAGTCGACACCTAAAATCTGGAGGGCTCGTCGTTCAGCTCTTGCTGAATCACATGTTCGGTTCGGATGCCAGAAATGCTTGCAGTGGTAACAGAAATATGTGTTACATCCTGGTCTCTCGCATTTTATCTTTGGGCAGCCTGCGCACTCTGTCGCTATCACAGCATAGCTGTAATACAAATTAATCAGGTGCCAATAATTAACTACACATGTATATAGAAAATATAATAAAATCTGGAATGTTTGATTGTAACAGCCAATTTATCCATTATAATAACTGAATTAATATAATAGATAAATAACAAGGTCAGCTTGAAATTTGATAGCAGTTATGAATTCTTAATTCAAATTTTGTAAAATATGGCTTTGTTTAACGCATCTGAAAACAATATACACATTGGAATAGTAAAGAAAATCTGAAATACACTATTATACAAAATAAATGTAGATTATAGAGAAATCAATTAAAAAGTTATCCTGCAAAAAGTGAAAATGTTTATAGCATTAGTTGTCTACCTTTTGTCAATGACAAGGTTAAATTTCAAAGGGTTTTTAAATGGCAAAATCAAAATTCCCAAATAAACCCAAAGGGAAAAAATTAAAAAAATACTTAAAAAAATTAAACCCAAGAATGCCCAATTTTATAAAAAAACTTTTTTTTAAAAAGTTTTCCCATTTTTTTTTGAAATAACTTTACCCCCCAATCTGGTTGCTGGGCACCACTTGCATCTGGACCCCGTCCCAAAACCCTTCCCCACCAAAAATCCTCATTAATTTGGAAAAATAAAGCACCAAAATCCCCTATAATCTCTTTAAAATTTTTCTTTTGGGGAAATTGGAAAACTTTTCAGAGCACCCCGGGAAAATTGCTATATTCACCCACTCTCTGTGTTTTTAAATTCCCCAAAGTACTTTTTAAAGGGCTTTCCCCCGATCAAAATATAGCAAAGGTGGAAAGATTTTCCGGAAATTTATCCGATGGATGTTCAATTAGGCACAGTGGACACTCTCTCGAACCGTCTTTGCTTTTTCTTCGGTCCGCATTGTGACCAGGACCGTAGTACGGTAACGATGGCACTGACAATGTTGTTGTTGTAGCACTCGATGCTGCTGTGGCACCTAATGCAGCACCTTCAGTGCGCTCACGGTCTCTGATAGAATATCCCACATCCGACTGTGCAGATGACGTAGAGTTTAAGCTCATCCGAGACAAACCGGATCTACCTGCATAGAATATTCTTCTGATCGAGAACCTATTCTTCCTCCGCTCCGACCCCTTGGAGGTGCTCGAGGTCGTGGATATAACCTCGCTGTCATGCCTCTTCATTCTTTAAAAAAACAAAAATAAAATACTTATTTTTCAGCTTTTCATAGTACTTTCTTTTGTTTTCATTGAAGGTACATGTATTCTATGCTCATTTTTGGGTAAAATACAAGTTTTTATGGCAGACACTTATTGAAATCTAGGAAATTCTTACAAAATATGTGTAATTTTAACAAGAAATTGCACAAACGGTACATGAAATACCACATGACGCAGTGTTTCTTACAGTTACACTTTTTTGAGGGGTCATTTTTGACCCCCCGTATCAGATTTAAGGGGTCAATTTAAATTTCTGACGGTCATGCCAAACCATTTACTTTAATCAAAAAGTCAAAAGAGAATTGGAACAACTATTTTTCTTTGAATATTTCAAACAGCCAAGGAAAAATGGAAAGAACAAGAGCTGTCGGTAGGACAGCAATGCTCGACTATTCTTAGTGCTTGATAGTAAAAATTAGAAATGTGTCCATAGGACACGGGTGCCCCCACCGCGACACTGTTCTGTCAATCTTTTTTACTAAGTCAAGGGGAAATAACACTCTACAAAATACTGGATAAATCACAAGCGAAACCCCAGGTGCAAATCTAAAATATGCTGAGCAACCTGCCATAAGGTTTATTGACTATGTCAAATCCTTTTTGAGAAACTTGCGACACAAGTTGAAAATTGCAAAAATTTTCTAAGTGAAGGGGCAATAGCTCTAAAAATACTGAATAAATCCAGACGAAAATATCTGGTGCACAACTTCACATGCTGATCAATATTCCTGTAAAGTTACATGAGTCTAGGTCAAATACTTTTTGAGTTATGTTTGGCGCGACACATGTTGAATATTGCCAAAATTTTACTAAGTCAAGGGCAATAACTCTGAAAATACTAAAATATCCAGACGAAAAATACCAGGTGCACACTACAACATGCTGATCAAACATTCCTGTAAAGTTTCATGATCTAGGTCAAAATACTTTTTGAGTTACATGCAAACACAAGTTGAAAATTTGCCAAAATTTTACTAAGTCAAGGGCAAACAACTCTAAAAATACTTTAAAAAATATGCCACACGAAATACCCAGGTGCACAAATACACATGCTGATCAACATTCCTGTAAAGTTTCATGATCTAGGTCAAATACTTTTTTGAGTTACATGCGACACAAGTTGAAAATTGCAAAATTTTACTAAGTCAAGGGCAATAACTCTAAAAAATACTAAAATATGCACCGAAAATACCCAGGGTGCACAATACACATGCTGATCAACATTCCTGTAAAGTCTTTCATGACTGTAGGTCAAATACTTTTTGAGTTACATGCGACACAAGTTGAAAAATTTGCAAAATTTTACTAAAGTCAAGGGTGCGCAATAAACTCTGAAAATAAATAAAAATAGTCCAGAACGAAAATACACAGGTGCACAAACTGCATCATGATGACAACAAATTCCTGTTAAAGTTTCATGCTTGTAGGTCAATACTTTTTGAGTTACATGTGACACAAGTTGAAAATTTTGCCAAATTTTACATAATTGTCAAGGGCAATAACCCTGAAATACTAAAAATATCCAACCAAATACCCAGGTGCACAAACTACACATGCCGATCAACATTTCCTGTAAAGTTTCATGACTCTAGGTCACAATATTTTTTTTGAGTTACATGCGACACACAAAAGTGAACGGGAAACGGAGGGACGGAAAGGGAAACGGACGCGACGGAGGCACAATGGTAAATCTAAAATGCCCGCCATAACGTGGGGGCACCAAAAATGCTTGATAAGAGTTTTACCTCCTCCTGTTTACAAGGTTGGGGTCATGATGGTGAACAAGTGTGCAAAGTTTCAAAGCCAATATGCAATGGAGCTTTGAATATTTTTTGAACTATTACAAAAAAATTTAAACGGGTAAATTCTAAGTCGAAAAAGGGGGCATAATACTGTCAAAATGCTTGATAGAAGTTACCTCCACCTGTTTCGCTTTTTGGGTTGGGGTCATGATGGTGAACAAGTGTGGGGAAAAGTTTTCAAAGCCATATGTCAATTTGACTTTTGAAAATATTTGAACTATAACAAAACTTTAAGTGTAAATTCTAAAGTCGAAAAAGGGGATAATTCTGTTTTCAAAATGCTTGATAGAGTTACCTCTCCTGTCCTACCAGGTTGGGGTCCATGATGGTTTGAAAAGTGTGCAAACGTTTCAAAGCCATATGTCTATGGAACTTTTTGAAAATATTTGAAGCTATTTACAAAAAACTTAAAACGTAAATTCTAAAGTCGAAAAAGGGGCATAATTCTGTCAAAAAGCTTGATAGAGTTACCTCCTCCCTGGTGCTACAGGTTGGGGGTCATGAATGGTGAACAAGTGTGCAAAGTTTAAAAGCCATAATGTCTATGGACTTTGAAAAAATATTGAACTATTAAAAAAACTTTAACATAAGTGGCTACGCCGACGCGGACGCGGACCGCCGACGCCTCCGGGTGACCTGCCAATAGCTCTACTTATTCTTAATCGGAATAGTCGAGCTAAAAAACATTTGCATAAAAACCATTAGAAGATTCTATTTAAAGGGACTCCACAGAGGTTTTTTGACATGACGGAACTGGAAAGAAATTTTTTGAGAATTATTATCCCATTTGGATGTAAGATTTATCTACAAAATAACTTAATGTTCAGGGGCCTCAAGCTATGTTCAAAATTAGGGCACGAAGTTCACTTCACTTCTCCCTCCAGCTGGTTTTTGGGAGAAGTGGGGAGACTTTAGGGAGAAAGTGAGGGAGATTCATTTATCGATTGTTGTTGTATGTTATCGCAATTATGTTGACTCACTGTACCATATCTTATTAAATGAATTGGATTTGTGGTTTACAACAGAATATTCCCAATTTAAATTTTTAAAAGTAGTTTTTGAAACAAGTAATAAGAATGAGCATCAAATGGTAATGCAACCGTTTTCATTGCATTAAATGAAGATAAAAAAAGCCATAGTTGATTTCCTTCATGGATCATATCATGGGTGGATAACAGTTTTTTTCCCTTTTTCTGATTTACTAATTAAAAAGCTTGCGCCGGACATTATATTCCATTTTACTGAATGGTTTGTAAAGAAAATGAAAAAGTAGATAACGAAAAGAAACAATCTTTAATTTAACTTCATTTGTAATAAATACAGTGTAAATACGCCGTCAAAGTTTTTAAATCAAAAATTAAACTCGTCGACAAAAAAGTTATCATAAACTTTCATTTAAAATTAAACCGTAACAGTTATAATATGTCGAGCGGTTTCTCTTAATTCAAATAGTAAAATTTAATTGACGTTTGAATCCGTCCATTCTTAAATAATTGTTACGGGTAAGTTGATATGTTTTAAGCGATTTAATGATTTGGTTTAATTTAATGTCGCCTCGATTTAAAGCGTGAAATTTACAATTGGTTTCTCGCACGTATCGGTAATCCTCGCGTGGGCGGAAGTCTTAATTGTTTCCTCGCCTGTCTGTTAATTAGGACTTTTATGGACAATGTTGGTAAACAAACGGATTAATGACATTTCGCGTTTGATTGAGAATGCATGACAGTCCCTTTTTCCCGGGCGGCGAGGGTAAAAACAAGCAAACAAACAACAACATGTTTAATCACAGTTATTGTTATTGTTTTGGTAATTTTTCAAATAATGGAATCAATAAAATCGGTGACTTCATATCTTCGCTTTCATGTAGGATGTTGGCGAAGTCAGATGGAATTCGGCGACTATTTCGCCCGAATCGCCCACTAGCTCGAGCCCTGTTATGTGCAAAATTTCAGATGATGATCATTAGGTTGCTCTGTTTTTCCAGAATAATTATTATAATAGTGAAAAATGACCCAAAATTGAAAAGCGTTTAAACGCTTTTCACTCAAATCGGACTGAGAATAGCACAAACATATGATTTTCAATGTATTTCTTCTATATTTCTAGGTAACATTTTATTAATATTTATGTTTTAAGTGCTCATGTTTATCTGTGTGAAAAAATAAAATTTCATGTTTTTAGGCATATAAACCCCAGTGGAGTTCCTTTAAAACAAAAAAAACAACCTTTAATGAATTATCCCAGCTACTGTAGCTCCATTCAGGACAAATTTCTTAAAATCAAAAAACACAAGACTAAAATATATAATTTTACCGGGATCAAATATCGGTAAAAATCGGCTTTTATACATATTAAGTTTACGGGTTAAATAAAAGGGGTTTAAAAAATTTTAATTTTGGGAGCAAACATAGTATATATACAAAATGTATATAAAAGACTTTTAACCATTAAAAGAAAACCCCAAGAGGGTAAAAACCCATGTTTTAAAGGTTAAAAAAAATGCGGGATTTCCTTTAAATTTGGGCTCATTAAACCTTTAAAAAAAAAATTTTTTTATATACAGATTACGTAGATTTTCAGCATTGAATGGTAAAAATTTCAGAAAATTTTTAAAGGGAAAAAATAGAGGTTTTTATTGGGGGAAACAAAATTTGGGGAAACTAAGAAATTTGCTTAAAAAATACTTTTATTTTTTTCAAAAATATAATATGTCTTTGAAAAAGCTTAAATTTATGATTTTTTAAAAATTCTAATGCCCCTTTGGGCAAAAAATTTCTCCCAAAACGGTTCAGTATAAAAAAAACCCGGGAAAGCGTATATATAAAAAATTGCAAATGCGGGCAAAATTTTTTTAATAATAGTTTTTCTTACATTTTCAAAAAAGTAAATTTGGGTAATTTCCTGGTTTTTTTTAAAATTTCTTTGATTTGGCTTTAAAAAATTTGTTTTTTGGGAAATAATTTCATTTTTTTAAGCGAGCTGAGGTTTGGGCCCCAAAGGGGCCCTGCTAGCAAGAAACCCTTTACAGTAAGCAAGTATTTAAATTAGGGTTTTTTAAAAAACTTTAATCCGAAGAAACCCCAATTGGACCCCTTTCAAACTTTTAAAATTTTACAAGATAACGATAAAACCCGATGTACTCTGATTAAAAACGGAACCCATA